AATCACGTGAAAAAACATTATCTATTTGCTCTAAATTTATTCGAAATGGCTTACAACTCAACTTTTGACGGCAACACTCATCGTCAGCGCAGAACTAAGCGAACAAGTAAACAATATTGAACAGAGCTATGAAATGCGTGTATGAGTGTAAAGCATTCATACTGACTCAATCAATCGGTCACTCTTCCAGGATCTTTCTTCAGGCGCACGGTGTGAATAGCTTTTAACGAAACACTCATAAGTAAGATTATGTTGTTCACAAAAGATTACCTACGCACTCAGAAATATTATGACGATGATGTTCAACGTTCGAACATTATGTCGGTCACCTTTAGGAGTATCGTTTTAAATCAATATATCTCATTAAGCACATAATACTCTTCTGTCAACAACACAACCTTATTGTTTCAGTATTTCACTTCATTCGAAACAATTACACAATACAACTTATGAACAGTGCGCATCAAGCGGCAAAATTTATAAATATCATCGGTCATCGATAATAAAACGCGAACAATTTCGGAAACTGCATACCGACTGCGCGACCGATGGTGCGTTGATCAGTGAAGATGACGCAGTACGTGACGAGGACAGACGCGATTTATGGTTCAGATCAATTTCACGGCGATCACCTGGACGAGCAAGTCGATGAACACCGGCGTGTGTGTATCGCTGCTGCTTCTGATAATTTCATTTTGTTATAATACATATCAAACAAACGATAATCTATCAACTGAGTTGGGTAAATTTGAATGATTGGAAGTGATGTATAAGTGATATGAATACTAGGGAATATTTGTTTCCGCGAAAAAACAGAAAAAATAACAAACCTCTTGAGAAATTTTTCATGAACAGAAAAATCTTTTTATAAAAAANAAAAAAGAAAACGAAACTTTTTATGAAAAAAAACAGAAAATACTTGAGAGGAATTTTGGCTCAAAAAACCAAAAAATTGGCAACAAACCGATGCGAGATATTTGTTGCAAAGAAGACAAAAATCGCCCACAAAATTGAGATGTGTCTTGAAATGTTTCTCATATTCACGTTCCGAGAACTCGTCGCGTGCACCGCACGCACACTGAATTCGAAGATTACAGATGTGTTCCGAGTAGTCACCGTGAGTGAAGAATTTCTTCGGACATGCCGAACATCCAAATCTGAACATTACACCAAATAAATTCACTTTTCTTAACGCAACAAAGAGGCACATTCGGAAACATTACTATGCGATCAGCTGCGACAACTGATAATTAATGTAATTAATTGTAAGAGTGGAAAAATATAAATAACAGTGGAACATGAATGAAACATTCGATTTATTGATAATGTTATGAACCTTTCATAGAGATGATTGTGTTGCTTCTTACGATGTTTCTTCAGGTCATCCGGTTGAATTGTACGGCCGTTATTGCAAATAAAGCAACGATCCACTGTATTGCACATATAAATGATATGTCGAAATATTTGCTCTTCAATGCGACGAAGTGTTTGCGACGAATCGCTCTTCAGACACGTATAACACAGCGAACAGATCATCGTTACTTCCTCAAAATTCGTTCATCATTTTTATTGTTTGATGAGCACTGATCAAGTTCATCATTCCATGCGAAAAGCTTTTTAAAATCACTTTCACCAAGTTTGACCGAACAATCTATTCAGTGCAATATTTCATAAAATAAAATGTAACCAAGCACACGTTGTCAATGAACAATTTGAACGGCATTAACTGAATCACCTGTCCAGAAACAGTTCGACGTGAGTGCTTTGCAATGACGTGCTGGAAGAGTTCTTCATGAGAGGTAACTTCATGCGTGACACGTTCCATCTGACATACGGGACAATCCTTCCATTGCTCTTCATGCTTCCTCAAATGAGCATCTCGCGTTCCGATCGTTGCAAACACTCCTTCACACAGCAAACAGTATGGAAGCTGAAAGTGGCGTTCCATCTTCACGTGCATATTACAATGAAAGTTGTGAATCAAGATCGATAATGAGAAGAGAATCACATCCCAAAGCTCAGAACACAACTCATTTCTCAGAGCTAAGCAAAAAATGACTTCTTCTTGTTATGGTGCCGTTCGACCACTCCCACACATTTCGTTAGTTTGTGTGTTAATTCTCATCAACTTGTAATTTAAAAAGAAAAGAGAAGAAAGTAGCAATAAAACGAACTTTAGGTTCGTTGAACAAGTTTTGTTGCAAGGTATTTGAAGATGACTGAATCACTGAAGCATCTTGATTTGATGACGATGATTCTTGTGGTACAACGGCTGACTGTGTAAGCACCATTTGTTGTAGTGGCATACTCAGAGCACTCGACCCCAGACGCTTCCTTTTGCACGCTTCTGACAACGACATCTTTTTCCAGATCAAACGCGGTAGCAACTGAAATAGAATCGCACTGAGTGTTTTAACATCACGATAAGATGATATGTCATCAATCATTATCACATCA